TGTCGCGAGGGCTACGACTCTGCCGAAGGCTTCTTGGAGCATTTGCAGAATGTCGATGGACCGCTAAAGGCTGCCATGGAGTGTGCGGATGTTGAACGTGTGGAAGTTCACGGTCCTGCCTCAGAGGTCAACACGCTACGAGAGCCGTTGAAGAGCTTCCCAGCTGTGTTCTGGCCATACCCCAACGACTCGTTCTTAGCTCCAGCCCAGTTCTCATGTGAGCCTCTGCGTGTCTGCTAATACAGTAGCTTGTGTGGAGACGTTTACCTTTTATATCTTACCTTACCTACTCTAATAGCATGGAAACTCTTTTGAATTCAAAGCAGATGTTTCAAATTCAAAATCAAATCGGCGCCACACACGATGATCGATGTGCGCGCGCGCATTGAGCAGCGACGCACCGCGGTGGTACGTTACGTCACTCAGTGCACGCAACTCATGCCCCACAACGCTACGTACAGAGACTGACGTCCCCTCACTAGACACCACCTCCCACCAAGCTCAACGCAGCTCGAGGGCGCCGAGCGAGTCGGCTACGTCGTCCGACCTCCTGGGCGCCGCTGACCGGCGCACCGCGGCGGCGCCGAAGCGGCAGAGCGAATGCCGCTCGGCCGACACCAGCCAGAGGTGCTCTCCGTCGGCGTCGAGGCAGATGCCGTTGACGCGCCGCGTGCTGCTCCCCGCCACGGGGATCACCTGCAGCGGCGCCCCCTGCAGCGTCAGCACGTAGACCCGGTCCCAATCGGCCACGTGGAGCAAAGGCTCCGCAGCACGCTCGCCCGCGCCAGCACGCCCGACGGCGACGCTGATCGGCTCGCGGAACGCCACACCGCCGTCGCCGCCGCTGCCCCCAATCTGCCGCAGGTACCGGCGCTGCTGCAGGCCGGAGCGCACTCGTACACCAGGACCGCGTGCCTCCCGCCGTCGCCGACGTAGACGAGGGCCTCGCACGTGGTATTCTCCCGTGGTGTACCTGTGTTAGTGCCAGTGCGCGCCAGTCCCGTGCCCAGTGTTGTGCGACGGGGGTTGGAGCACTTGGAGTGCAGTTATCAACCTCACATCCAGGGCCGGGGAGCTCAGAAGCGCACCCAGCGGGCCGGATGATCGGTATCGGGCTACGGGCAAGAGAGCCCTAGCCCCGGGGGTGCGCGTTCGCAGGGAAAGGGCCTTAAAGTAAACACGGGTCTCCGAGGGTTGGTTCCGTGTACCGGGTTTCCCCTTAACTTCAGAACGCCCCCTCTACTCGGAGCTAGTAGACACGACACTGTACACCACGCACGTGCACAGGTCCTCACTCAGCATCCCGTCCCAGGGTTCCACCGCCCGCCTTCCCGGGGCTCCGGTTCTCCCTGATTCGCTCTTTTATTCGCCTGCCGAGCGTCGCCTGACGGCCGCTGTAGCCCTTTCTGATGTCTCTTCTTTGGCCGAGGTCTCGCCTCCGCCTCACCTCCGACTGGTACTGCCGCCTCCGAGAGCATCGACTGCCCTGCTGAAGTTTCCCCGGGCGAGGACGGCGGCATTGGATCGTGTCGCCTCCCCTCCCCGGGAGGTCGGGCCCGCTCTCCCTGGTCGACGAGTCGCGCCCGCACCCGCGGCCTCTCTATCGTCCCTGGCTCGCCCCCCCCCTCCGCCGGCTCCTCTTCGGGGAGGCGTGGCCCTCCCTGTCGAGGGTCGCGGTGGTCCGGTTGCCACTGCGACTGGCCTTCCCCCGGTGAGCCCGTACGTCCCGACTCCACTCTCAGAGGCCGCGTTAGCTCATCTCTCGCCTCCTCCGACAGCCCGGGGTTAAATTCTCTTTTTCAGTCTCTCCAACGCCCCGCGCCCGGCGCGAGCACACAAACACACATATGCCGCTCATGGTGACTTCTCGTCAGCGCAGGACGCTCCGCGAGGCGGAGCCGCCCTCTCTCCCGGCCGCGCTGGCGGCCACGCTCGCCGCCAACCACGCAAGGGTGCTCGACCTATTCCGTGCTCTTGACCGGAACGAGGATGGGCTCGTCTCACGTGGTGAGCTGCGGAGCAAGCTGATGGGGCTGGGCCTGCAGGTGTCGCCGCACGAGCTCAACGAGCTCTTCTACGCCCTCGATCCCGACGGCTCTGGCGCCATCGACTATGAGGAGCTCCGCCGCGCTCTGCTCGAGGCTGGCCGAGGCCCTCCCAAGCGATGGGCGTCGCCACCGCCGCGGTCGGGCGCGGTGCGGTCGTCAGCGGGCGTGGCGCTGCCGGTTGCAGTGGCGGAGGAGCTCCGATCGCAGGTGGCCGAAGTCCAGTCGCAGGTGCGCGAGCTGCTGCACGCCGTGCACGCGCAGCTCCGCTCGCTGCACGACCAGAACCAGGCGGGACTCCGCGCGGCGGCAGAGGCGGCGGCCGCTGCCGCGA